CTAAAGTCTCAGTTTCATGGCCTTGAGTGAAAAAAATACACCCGTATTTTTTGGTCTCGAACTTTACGCCGCTTGAAAGGCTTGAAAAATCGAACAAATATTATTTTGAACTAGCTTAATAAAATACGCAACTACCACCGTGCGGAAAAGTTCGTCTTACTCCCGTAAGACTCTTTATTTTTATTCATTTATATGTGAATTTCCATACTCAGATAAATTCAACAGAGAATAAAATGTCTTACATCCGTAAGATGAACTTTTCCGCACTGTGATCCACAACATGCATTTATTACATATCTTTTACCGTAAATATGAATTCATGAGAAAACTGAATCTGATATAAGTTTTGCGATACAAATAATTTTTGATAGACTTTTCAATGCCTGTATGATATCGTAATTATGTGAAAATTTGCAGAGGTTATTTTCACAAAAAGCTAACATTCTGAAAGTTTGAAGAAATTTCAATACAATTGAGTATCTTCCATACAAAATTTTCGTTTTTGAGCAAAAAATCCTAAATTTTGTTGGGGAAGTACATAATGCATAAAATTTCTTCAAATTCTCGAAATGTTATTGTATTTTTGAGTGAAAAAATAAACTGTGCAAAGTTTCAGCTCATTACGATATCATACGGGCATTTTTTTGAAATTTTTGTATGAAAATTGTGTAGATATGTCAAGATATGTCTTTGTATCGCAAAACTAACGTCATATTCGGTTTTTTCGTACCCAAAAACCCCCAATACATTTTTTGAGTGTTTAAGTATACTTATGTATAATTATATATATATTAGTAAATATCACTTTTGGAAAAAAAATTGAATTTTTACCAGACATGACACGTCACTCTATAAACCAAAGTCGCTCAAAATCTAATGGTTTCTATTCCTCGGCACCCCCAATCATCCTGTGAATTCAGATTTTGAATTACTTTTCTTGGTTGATTTTTGCGTACAGGGTACAGGGTACGCACAATGCACATACATTTGGACATCGAAAAAACGCTAGATTCGTGTTTTTCGGCCCCAACAACACCCAAAAAACACGTTTTTGAGAGATGTTCATTTTTCGACAAGATGTGTGCGGAAAAGAAAAAAACCATTATTTTCAAATAAAATGTCAGTCGTTGAGAGTAATGTGATGTTAAATTGCATATGGCATTTGTTGTGTATGTTTCGACAATGTAATTGTATGCATTTCGTAGTCCAGATCTTGTTGGTTAAATGAATCGTGTTGAAATCAAACGTCGAAAATAATTTGGAGGCGTCTCTTCATCGTCCCTAGCTTTATTTATTATAGGTATATTTTAGACCAATTTTTATTTTATTTTGCTATACCAATTTAAGATGCTAGACGCATCTTTGCGTGTTTGTGCTGACTCAGATATTTTCTCTCTTTCTCATTGCATGATGTTGAAGCGCGCAACAATTTTCAATCCACCATTAAAATATTCATATAATTTATTGACTTTTTAATAATAAACTAAATTAAGGCAACCACTTGGTATATTTGCTCTTTTTCAGAAATGACTAGTTATATTACATAAGTCCATGAAATTTAAAGTCGGTAAGTAAATAGTTTAAGATAAATTGATGATGAAATTTTGAATATTCTCTAGTTGGTGATTTTTTTGAAAAAAAATCTTAAGATACCCCGTCCGAAGATGAATTATAAAAAAATATTTATTTCTTCCGCAGAAATACTTCTGGTCTACAATGTTGAGTAGATGGTTAATATCATCACTTCAAATGCTTTTAATATGTAAACTTGTAAACTCGATGCCAAGCAATAACAGGACGCTGAAAATTAATCCAAAACCTTGTAAGTTGATGTTTTCTTCTGATCAATTTACAAATATATTTATTGCTAACATTTCTTTGGGATTCAAAAATGTTGTATCTAATTTTCATCAACAAGTCGTTTAAATTTATTGCTTTTATTTTATATGTCCATGTTTAATATGACGATTAATTTAAGATTTTTTGCAGTCTTTATAAGGATAGTATTACTTAAAAATATGGTGTGAGTTTCCGTATGCTTCGATTCGCTCTGTCTTCGAGCAGAAGAATTTCGAGATGTATTTTTCGAATTCTTTCTATTGTTCGTTGGTCATTCCTAATAATTCGTCAATATTCGGCGGCCACTTGATATATCCGTTATATATATGAACCGCTTAGAATAAAAGTAGATAATGGTAGAAAGTTAAAAAAAATCTCAATCATAAAGTGCTATGAAAATAATACTCAATCAAGAAAAAAAGTGAAAAAAAAAATCGATCATAAATTGTGTTTGCCTTTATTTTTCATACATTTTTCGATCGACTTTTATTTTTAATTTTTTCATGATTGAGTATTTTCACAGAACTTTAAGATTGAGATTTTTTTTTAACTTTCTACCATTATCTACTTTTATTCTAAGCGGTTCATATCTGATACTAGAGCATCTTTGTTTTGATATTTTTTATAGGAATTTCGTGTTTTTTATCCATTAGGTACAGCCAATGGATATGGAGGCACATGTATGTTTGTGTGGGAATGCATTAGGTCCGAAGGTCAGCATATTGGGATGTGTGTGGATTCTTTTATGTTTGGTTCCTGTTGTGCTCACAATTTAACCGAAAATATTGTGTTGCCACATCAACATTTTGATTTTAAACCGCCTGTTAAGAAACCCAGACCCCCATCAAATACATCAAATCGGCCATCTTTAAGGTAATGCAATGAGAAATAAAAATTGCCAAGAGAAATAAACCGAACATTTTTTGGGAAATGGAAAAGTTTGTCAAAATATATGCGAATAAAACGCGTTATGATCTCTATTCAATTTGTATCTTCTTTTCAGTAGTGGAACTACTACAGTAATACATCGGCCACACGGTGACAGTATGTTAATAATCCGTCCATCAATAAATAAAAATCGACCATTACATTCAATGAAACCATTGGTACCACAAACTACGAGCTCTGTTACGAATTTATTGCATTCAACAAATGTGATATCTGATCTTGATACGGCTTCAAGTTTATCAACAGGTTTGTGGCATTAACAATGTTATTTCATAATTCGTATTAATTATATCATTTTATATTTATTATTTCTATCATTTGCTGATAAAAACCAATTTAAATGATTTCAAATTAAAATAAAGAGTCTTACAGGAGTAAGACGAACTTTTCCGCACAGCGGTAGTTGCGTATTCTATTAAGCTAGTTCAAAATAATATTTGTTCGATTTTTCAAGCCTTTCAAGCGGTGTTCAAACCTTGGCATCGAAATATTCTTTAATTTAATAGCAGAAGTACTCGGAAAAGATTTTTCACACTTCATGATGAACCAATCATGGTTTTTTCCTATCTGAATAGCGCTAGCTATTCGCAGCGTCTGAACAGCATTGCTGCCCAGATGCTGAATCGAAGCGGTTGCCGCACGCGCAACACACTTCGTTTGTACCGGAAACTGTATTCAGATAGGAAAAAACCATCACTGTGATGAACCCATTTGTACGACATTTGAAAGAATTCTATTTTCTATAAAACACTATAAAAAAATATATCTGACGTTAATTTTGCCATAAACATTATTTTTAAAACACTTTTTATACAAAACTAAAACAAAATGGATTTTTGTATGGGAATCATGCCTGTATGGTATCATAAGCACGTGAAACATTGCACAGATTATTTTTTTCACAATTAATCGAAAATTTTGCATGAGAGGTAACCCCTAATTTTGATTGAAATTTCATCAAACTTTCAGAATGTTATTTTTTTGTGTAAAAAATAATCTGTGCAAAGTTCTAGGGGGTAGACACCAATTCAAAATGAAAAATCTATGTTAAAATACTCAATTGTATAATTTCATTGATTCCAACGATTCCATTAGAATTATAATAAAAAACACAAAACTCACAAATCCGAAGAATCCAAAGGATCCGAAGAATCTCATGAATCATAGGGACTTTGACAAAGTCACTTTGTCAATAATATAACAAAGAGTCTTACGGGAGTAAGACGAACTTTTCCGCACGGTAGTAGTTGCGTTTTTTATTAAGCAAGTTCAAAATAATATTTGTTCGATTTTTCAAGCCTTTCAAGCGGCATAAGGTTCGAGACCAAAAAATATGTTCAAACCTTGGCATCGAAATATTCTTTAATTTAATAGCAGAAGTACTCAAGAAAAGATGTGAAAATTTCATGATGAATCCATTTGTACGACATTTGAAAGTATTCTATTTTCTAACAAAACACTATAAAAAATATGTCTGACGTTAATTTTGCCATCAAAATTATTTTTGAAACACTTTTCATAACTAGAGTCACAAAAAATTTGGATTTTTGTATGGGAGCCATGTCTGTATGCTATCTAAATGGCGTGAAACTTTGCACAGGTCATTTTTTTACAAAAAAATAACATTCGGAGAGTTTGGAGAAATTTCAACGAAAATTAAGAGTACCTCCCATACAAAATATTCGTTTTTGAGCCAAAAATTGAAAATTTTGTATGGGAGGTAC